AATACTATTTCAGTTTGTCTCCTTATTTCATTGTAATAATTTATGAACTCTTCTAGCGATTTCCTGAAGATTGTTTCAAACTCGATCCTACACCAAATATTTTTCAGTACATGAAGCTGCTGTTATAAATGGATTCAGGTGTAGTTTAGTTCAGTATTTAGAGTTGTTTTCAGCTTGTGATTCATTGCAGGATCAGTCAGAGCAGCGTCTCTGTTTTATTTACATGATCTCTGTGTTTGGCCCTCACTCGTCCTGCTCTGGCGTCTGACTCGCCCCAGTAATCTGATCGCGTTCCTCCATGATTTCTCCTCCTCCGTGTCTATTTAAGAGCAGATATGACCTCAAGCTTCTCTCTGAATGATACAGCACACAGTGAGCGCTGTTGATTGTGTGTGTGTGTGTGTGTGTGTGTGAGAGAGTGTACGTGTTTTTGTGACAAATGAGGACATACATTTGTATAATGACAAAGGTATGACAGGTATTATAAGGAGAAGGTGACTTTTCAGGACATTACCCCATGTCCCCACTTTTCAAAACACTTATAAATCACACAGAATGGAGTGTATTGAAAATCTGAAATAGCAGAAAGTCTCCTGTGAGGGGTAGGTTTAGGGGTAGGGTTGGTGTAGGGCAATAGAATATACGGTCTGTACAGTATAAAAACCATTACACCTATGGAGAGTCCCCATAAACCAAAAAAACAAACCTGTGTGTCTGTGTGTGTGTGTGCGTGCGTGTGTGTGAGTGTGGGTAGGGTTGGTGTAGGGCAATAGAATATACGGTCTGTACAGTATATAAACCATTACGCCTATGGAGAGTCCCCACTTTTCACAAAAACAAACCTGTGTGAGTGAGTGAGTGTGTGTGTGTGTGTGTGTGTGTGTCTGTGAGTGAGTGTGTGAGTGAGTGAGAGAGTGTGTATGTGTGTGTGTGTGTGTGTTTTGATAGTTGCAGCTCGTCTCTCTCTGCTTCATTTGAGAGGAGATCAACAAACTGCTCACCATCGGTTTCCACTAAACAAAACACTCATTCACTGCTCGAGCTCTGCTTTATTCTGCTCCTCACATCCTCACACTCTTTCATCAACTCTATTCAGTCATTAATATGTTTTCATCAGCATTTGAACTAATGAATGAAGGCCTGATCTGAATCTGATCCTCAGCGTTATGAGTCTGACCTCTGCTGGACAAACACGAGACACACACAAAATAATTTTATTAGTCAAGGATGCATTAAATTGATCAAAAGTTACAGTAAAGACATAATGTTACAGTAGATTTCTATTTCAAATAAATGCTGTTCTTCTGAACTTTCTGTTCATCTGTGAATCCTGAAAAATAAAATGCATCACAGTTTCCACAGAAATATTGTGCAGCACAACTGTGTTCAACATTGATAATAATCAGAAATGCTTCTCGAGCAGCAGATCAGCATATTATACTGATTTCTGAAGATCATGGTGATGCCGGAGGTTGAGCTTTGATGACGTTGTGTGTGTAAGAACACGAGGGACAGCTGAGCTCTTCATCTCAGCAGGTGTTAATAGACTGAGCAGAGGCTTTATTCCGGAGGTGCTGCAGGGGATTGAGGACTGGTTCAGTGGGGCTGGATGCTAAACTCAAACCACGTGTCGTGTCCCCCATCAGAAATCTCATTCTGCTTTCATCACACGCGTCAGAATCAAGTGTTTGTGTGAGGAAGGGTCTTCTTGTCAGCAGTTTGATCAAATACATGCAGTAGTTTTTAGCAAAGCCCCATACTTCACTCTACTGTAGAAGCTTGTTTCCAACATGGGATAAAAAAATTATAATAATCAATAGATTTTTTATTTTACAATTCTGAATTTTTTTGCAATGAAAAATGGCAGAATAGCAAGACAAAAGTCAGAATTGAGACTTAACATCTGGCAAGTTATATGAGTTTATATACAAAAGCAGTAAGGTAGTGATCTCTCACAGCTCTGACAGTGTGTGCACACATCTATGTGTAGCCATTCCTCCACATCTGAACAGAGTGGACAGTGAAATAGCTGTAAATAGCAGGGCACCCGCTCGCTCGAGGACTACATTCAAGAGTATCTGGACATTGCCTATCACTCTGATTTACCGGACTATGTTTTGATAGATTTCTTCTGTACTGGCATTAATCAACCGCTCAAATTTAAACTTATTCACGAGGGTCCGCGTTCATCACTGAGTTGTTTTTTGGACTTTGCTTTGTTGACTGTTGGCTCTCCATTCACTGTGGGTATCGTGGAGGAACGCAACCCCACACTCACTCCTGTAATGGCCCCTACACTAGGTTACGTTCACAAAATGGCGACGACAGATGAATCTGATCACAAAATGGCGGACACTGCAGCGCCCAGTCAAGTCACAGTTGATAGTTATGAGTCTAGTCAAGTCACAGTTGATTCTTTTCCACAATAAAGCTTTGCGAATGGATCCGCACGTCTCACGTCTTGTCAGCTCCGTAACACTGTCATTCTGGTGACTCACATGAGGAAAGTTTGTTTTCCCTACAAACCAGGATGAAAAGCTTCCACAGAGAAGTGTGTGTGTGAGAGAGAGAGAGAGTGTGTGTGTGTGTGTGTGTCCAAAATCCTGACACTGTGTATGTTCGGCAGAGTCGTATTTGACCTTTGACCTTCAAACAATAAACAACAAACCTGCGTGTCTCTCGGTGTTTGAGCGAGTCAAAGTATACTGGTTTGAGCAGCACAGTATTAACACACACACATGATCACGTTCAGAGGCATAGCAATGTTTTTGTTCGTTAAATAGCCTATAAGTGTTTGTTTTTTAAAGTAACGACCAAGCGGCCAGCGGCAGACAGTGAGCCTATGTTTGATCAATTTAGCCTAAAATCCTGACACTGTGTATGTTCGGCAGAGTCGTATTTGACCTTTGACCTTCAAACAATAAACAACAAACCTGCATGTCTCTCGGTGTTTGAGCGAGTCAAAGTATACTGGTTTGAGCAGCACAGTATTAACACACACACATGATCACGTTCAGAGGCATAGCAATGTTTTTGTTCGTTAAATAGCCTATAAGTGTTTGTTTTTTAAAGTAACGACCAAGCGGCCAGCGGCAGACAGTGAGCCTATGTTTGATCAATTTAGCCTTCTCAAATCATCACGACTTACCTAAAATAAAATCTATAGATATAAAACAGTTCAAGCAATGTTTAAACGTTAAACCTAGATAAATATGCGCTGTATCCAATAGTTTGTGCGGAGAGTGGAAGCTGATGCGCGCTTTGCAGGACACGGAGACGCCAGCGCGATCACTTGCATTGTTTTTCAGTGGATACACCATCATTTTTGGTAAGAGTAATACATCATTCGTGACTTTAAAGGGTCTACTTTTATTTGTGTGCACTCACAATATCAACTAAACATTGTGTGTTAAACCTAGATAAATATGCGCTGTATCCAATAGTTTGTGCGGAGAGTGGAAGCTGATGCGCGCTTTGCAGGACACGGAGGCGCCAGCGCGATCACTTGCATTGTTTTTCAGTGGATACACCATCATTTTTGGTAAGAGTAATACATCATTCGTGACTTTAAAGGGTCTACTTTTATTTGTGTGCACTCACAATATCAACTAAACATTGTGCTTTTATAAAATAAAGAAAACAAACACAATGCGCTTTCTGCCGTCTCGGTCTTCAACAGGAGCGTTTCACAAAAATGAACCGAAACTCAGCGAATACATGTCTCACAGACATGATAAATATATCTATAGAAAGCTTTAAATTACTAAACGAAAACAAAAACTCTTTCATTATGATCATAATCCGTAAAGATGCACTTCTCTCTAAAGGTGCGTCTGAGGAGATGGCGAGTCAGGATCGACAACTTCATCCTTGCGACACTGACTCAGAAAACACTAGTTTATTAGTAAATAACTCAAATATCTCCTTACTGTTTCCCCCTGACGCATTCATGGTAATTACTTTTGCCGGTGCTTTGCGGCAAGCTTTAGCCTATTGCGTGTATTTGAAGGCAGAACTGTTCAGCTGCGCTGACGGCACGCTCCACACATACTGCTGCTGACACTAAACACCGTCCAGCCGCTCTCTCTTCTTCCTGGAAGTCTGGGGGTTGATGGGCTTCTGGCAACATTCATTTCCGGAGAGAAGACAACTTTACAGATTTGAGTGCACAGGTTTGAGCGAGGTCCTGTTTTGTGCATTATATACTGTTAGATGTGTCTCGCACACATCTCATATGTTGTATAATTATATCACTAGTTAACAAAGATACATTAACAAAAAAATCTTTTAGAAGGGCCTCACTGATTCATTTTGCCTGGGGCCCGCACTTCATGTAGGTACGCCTCTGATCACGTTAACAAACTCATCCTAAAGTTTCTGAAGTTGATGAACCCATAAACCCTCGCAGATGTGCGGATCACGTGAGCGCAGCAGATGAAGTCTCGTCCGTCACTATCAGCACACTGAGCTCAACAACAATACACACGGACAGGAAGCCAACAGACACACTTCCTGTTTCTCCACTGGACCATCCGTCTCAACACAAAGAGGCTCTCTCTTTCTCAGATGCGTGCTCTTATTAATCTGACAGTTAGTGCTTTTAAAAAGTGTCTCAAAGCACATGTGTTCACTATACAGGGCCTTAACGCACTTCCTCTCATTACTGTACATACTGCTTTCTGTTTGTTCATATTCTTATTATTAATGCTATTGTTTTTTTTTTAATCCACCTTTTATAAGCATGTATATACACATACATGAATATGTCTTCTATAAAGCTCCTTGTAAACATTACATATGTTATATAAACCTGCTTTCACTCATTCAGCATCACTCACAGCATGTGTTTGGTTTCATGTTTTTTAGCTCAAGTCATCTAAATCAAAGAAATGTTTAGAAGTGATATTTCGAGGATTTGAAAGTTTAAACCCGTGATTATTTACATTTACTCTCAGAAGGCATTGCTCGGTAAAACGCGATTCGTCTCGTTTAATTTGTCCTCCCTCAGATGCCGTAGTAGGAGTTTCGCGCATGCGCAGTGAGAGCGGTCGCTTCAGGGTAGCATGCAGTTGAGTTTGTAAACTGCTCTTTGAATTAAAAACATTATCATCTGATTGTATCATACCGTTATTATTATTATAAATATTATATCGCAGCTATATAAACCGTTTATAGGAAGAAGAAGGAAGAAATACAAAGCGGAATGAATCAGTTTGAGCAGTGAGTTAGCGGCTAACGGCTAATTAATCTGAATTTATGAACATTTAAACAGTTTCAGTTCACAGTGTTAATAGATTTAGGATATACAAGCATGATGAGGGTTCTGTATATATATATATATATATGTGTGTGTATATTAGCATCACATCACCACATCAACATATAATTGTAGCCTTTAAAACGTTTATTTTATTTTTTTAAATAAAGCTATTAACTATAACATCTGATTAGTGTTATTAAATCTTGTCCAATAATGTTTCAGTTTGAATGTCATAAAATGCTGATTTATTACCAATAAATGTTGTGTTTGTAGTTTGAAGGAGGAAGACTGTGGTGAGCAGGAGGAGATGAAGGACAGTAATGAGACTGACGGAGGATCAATAAACAACAACAACAACAACATCAGACGCAAGGTGAGCCTGACACACACACACACACGCTCACTCACACTCTCTCACACACACACACTCACTCACACTCACTCACACACACACTCACTCACACACACACTCACTCACACACACACTCACTCACACACACACTCACTCACACACACACTCACTCACACACACACTCACTCACACACACACTCACTCACACACACACTCACTCACACACACACTCACTCACACACACACTCACTCACACACACACTCACTCACACACACACTCACTCACACACACACTCACTCACACACACACTCACTCACACACACACTCACTCACACACACACTCACTCACACACACACTCACTCACACACACACTCACTCACACACACACTCACTCACACACACACTCACTCACACACACACTCACTCACACACACACTCACTCACACACACACTCACTCACACACACACTCACTCACACACACACTCACTCACACACACACTCACTCACACACACACTCACTCACACACACACTCACTCACACACACACTCACTCACACACACACTCACTCACACACACACTCACTCACACACACACTCACTCACACACACACTCACTCACACACACACTCACTCACACACACACTCACTCACACACACACTCACTCACACACACACTCACTCACACACACACTCACTCACACACACACTCACTCACACACACACTCACTCACACACACACTCACTCACACACACACTCACTCACACACACACTCACTCACACACACACTCACTCACACACACACTCACTCACACACACACTCACTCACACACACACTCACTCACACACACACTCACTCACACACACACTCACTCACACACACACTCACTCACACACACACTCACTCACACACACACTCACTCACACACACACTCACTCACACACACACTCACTCACACACACACTCACTCACACACACACTCACTCACACACACACTCACTCACACACACACTCACTCACACACACACTCACTCACACACACACTCACTCACACACACACTCACTCACACACACACTCACTCACACACACACTCACTCACACACACACTCACTCACACACACACTCACTCACACACACACTCACTCACACACACACTCACTCACACACACACTCACTCACACACACACTCACTCACACACACACTCACTCACACACACACTCACTCACACACACACTCACTCACACACACACTCACTCACACACACACTCACTCACACACACACTCACTCACACACACACTCACTCACACACACACTCACTCACACACACACTCACTCACACACACACTCACTCACACACACACTCACTCACACACACACTCACTCACACACACACTCACTCACACACACACTCACTCACACACACACTCACTCACACACACACTCACTCACACACACACTCACTCACACACACACTCACTCACACACACACTCACTCACACACACACTCACTCACACACACACTCACTCACACACACACTCACTCACACACACACTCACTCACACACACACTCACTCACACACACACTCACTCACACACACACTCACTCACACACACACTCACTCACACACACACTCACTCACACACACACTCACTCACACACACACTCACTCACACACACACTCACTCACACACACACTCACTCACACACACACTCACTCACACACACACTCACTCACACACACACTCACTCACACACACACTCACTCACACACACACTCACTCACACACACACTCACTCACACACACACTCACTCACACACACACTCACTCACACACACACTCACTCACACACACACTCACTCACACACACACTCACTCACACACACACTCACTCACACACACACTCACTCACACACACACTCACTCACACACACACTCACTCACACACACACTCACTCACACACACACTCACTCACACACACACTCACTCACACACACACTCACTCACACACACACTCACTCACACACACACTCACTCACACACACACTCACTCACACACACACTCACTCACACACACACTCACTCACACACACACTCACTCACACACACACTCACTCACACACACACTCACTCACACACACACTCACTCACACACACACTCACTCACACACACACTCACTCACACACACACTCACTCACACACACACTCACTCACACACACACTCACTCACACACACACTCACTCACACACACACTCACTCACACACACACTCACTCACACACACACTCACTCACACACACACTCACTCACACACACACTCACTCACACACACACTCACTCACACACACACTCACTCACACACACACTCACTCACACACACACTCACTCACACACACACTCACTCACACACACACTCACTCACACACACACTCACTCACACACACACTCACTCACACACACACTCACTCACACACACACTCACTCACACACACACTCACTCACACACACACTCACTCACACACACACTCACTCACACACACACTCACTCACACACACACTCACTCACACACACACTCACTCACACACACACTCACTCACACACACACTCACTCACACACACACTCACTCACACACACACTCACTCACACACACACTCACTCACACACACACTCACTCACACACACACTCACTCACACACACACTCACTCACACACACACTCACTCACACACACACTCACTCACACACACACTCACTCACACACACACTCACTCACACACACACTCACTCACACACACACTCACTCACACACACACTCACTCACACACACACTCACTCACACACACACTCACTCACACACACACTCACTCACACACACACTCACTCACACACACACTCACTCACACACACACTCACTCACACACACACTCACTCACACACACACTCACTCACACACACACTCACTCACACACACACTCACTCACACACACACTCACTCACACACACACTCACTCACACACACACTCACTCACACACACACTCACTCACACACACACTCACTCACACACACACTCACTCACACACACACTCACTCACACACACACTCACTCACACACACACTCACTCACACACACACTCACTCACACACACACTCACACACACTCTCTCACACACACACTCTCTCACACACACTCTCTCACACACACACACACACACACACTCTCTCACACACACACACACACACTCACTCAGATTAATCTGTAATTGACATGATGAAGGCCTCACACGTGTGTGTGTGTGTGTGTGTGTTTCAGATGGTGACCCCCGGTGCAGGCGAGCACCCGCTGCAGTATAACTACACGTTCTGGTATTCACGCCGGACGCCCAGCAGACCTGCAAACACACAGAGCTACGAGCAGAACATCAGACAGATGGGGACGGTGGCGTCGGTCCGACACTCGCACTCTGAGCTTCATTTCTGATGGTGATCTGTGCCTGTGTCGTGTCTGACTGAGTGTCTCCTTCCTCAGGTGGAGCAGTTCTGGAAGTTCTACAGTCATCTGGTGCGACCCGGAGACCTGACGGGACACAGCGACTTCCACCTCTTTAAAGAGGGAATCAAACCCATGTGGGAGGTGAGTGTGTGAGTGTGTGAATGATTGAGTGTGTGTGTGTGTGTGTGTCTGTCTGTGTGTGTGTGTGTGTGTGTGTGTGTCTGTCTGTGTGTGTGTGTGTGTGTGTGTGTGTCTGTCTGTGTGTGTGTGTGTGTGTGTGTGTGTCTGTCTGTGTGTGTGTGTGTGTGTGTGTGTGTCTGTCTGTGTGTGTGTGTGTGTGTGTGTGTGTCTGTCTGTGTGTGTGTGTGTGTGTGTGTGTGTCTGTCTGTGTGTGTGTGTGTGTGTGTGTGTGTCTGTCTGTGTGTGTGTGTGTGTGTGTGTGTGTCTGTCTGTGTGTGTGTGTGTGTGTGTGTGTGTCTGTCTGTGTGTGTGTGTGTGTGTGTGTGTGTATGTGTGTGTGTGTGTGTGTCTGTGTTTGCGTGAGTGTCTGTGAGTGTGTGTCTGTGAGTGTGTGTCTGAGTGTGTGTCTGTGTTTGCGTGAGTGTGTGTGTGTGTGTGTGTGTGTGTCACTGGCTGCGTTTACATGCAACCCTACAAGTCATTAATATAAATAATATATAATAATATGATTGATGGCATAGTCAGGCTGGTTGGTCTTCATGTAAACATCTGATTTAGTCATATTCAGCTCCATCTGAAAGGAAGAGCAGGTGTGATCTTAAATTAACAGCCCTGGATCTTCATTATAGACTGTTCTGATGATTTGCAAAAAAGGCCTCATATTAGCTCATTTGATGCTGCGGAGTTCAAAAATGTCAATAAAACATTTCATTACGTACTTTTTTTTTTCCAAAGTAAGGTTTTTCAAATGATATGTATCAGTCTGTGGGTGTGTGTGTGTGTGTGTGTGTGTATGTGTGTGTGTGTGTGTCTGTGTTTGCGTGAGTGTCTGTGAGTGTGTGTCTGTGAGTGTGTGTCTGAGTGTGTGTCTGTGTTTGCGTGAGTGTGTGTGTGTGTGTGTGTGTGTGTGTCACTGGCTGCGTTTACATGCAACCCTACAAGTCATTAATATAAATAATATATAATAATATGATTGATGGCATAGTCAGGCTGGTTGGTCTTCATGTAAACATCTGATTTAGTCATATTCAGCTCCATCTGAAAGGAAGAGCAGGTGTGATCTTAAATTAACAGCCCTGGATCTTCATTATAGACTGTTCTGATGATTTGCAAAAAAGGCCTCATATTAGCTCATTTGATGCTGCGGAGTTCAAAAATGTCAATAAAACATTTCATTACGTACTTTTTTTTTTCCAAAGTAAGGTTTTTCAAATGATATGTATCAGCTTTATTGCACTTATGAACATAGCAAAAGCAATCAAATGTCAAAAGTTTTGTTTTTAATGACAAAATGAAGTCTTCAAAATGTATAATTTAACTTGCATTCTGCAAAAGAGAGGAAAAATATGATCAAATATGCCATTTAACGTCAAATAACTTTACATAGAGGTTTATAGATAATAGATTTAGTTTGTTTTATAGTTTTTAGATTTTTTCACAAAATCTGTGATTCCTGTCTGTTTGTATGCAGCAAAGGCAGAAATCATCTGCTCATGTTTGCATTTTCTCCCGTCTCTGGATCATAATTCTAACTTTGAAATCAGGATCAGGAATGAAATAATGTCACGCGTGTGAAGATAGGCAGTGTTAATCTGACTCAGATTCAGACAGGAATCGGGTGTTTTTCCACTGATTAAGGCAGAATACAAGACTTCTGCTTCTCAGAGAGAGTGTGTGTGTGTGTGTGTGTGTGTGTGTATACATTCCTTCAGTTTCCTTCAGTGTTTTATTCCTCAGTAACAGGTTACATCAGATTCAGTGTGTGTGTGTTTGAAATAAGAACATGATTAAAGACATTCTCTGCAGTTTAGTTAAATTCCTGTTTATTTGTATGTTTTTACAATACAGATAATATCAAAGCAGGGTCAGAAATGAACTTTTCCATTAAGGGGTCATTTTTAGCACCACTTTAATAATTGTATGTGTTGTCTTTAATGTCAAATACTTGAATTTAACCAATTAACTGTTGCCAATAACAACAGATTGTTTAAAATTGTAACGTTCAAACATTTGGGGTCAGTAAAATTTTTATAACTTTTTAAAGAATTCTCTTCTGCTCATCAAGGCTGCATTTATTTGATCAGAAATTCAGAAAAAAACTGTAAAATTGTGAAATATTATTAGACTTTCAAACAGCTGTTGTCTATGTGAATATCTGTTAAACTGTAATGTATTTCTGTAATGCGCAGCTGTATTTTCAGCATCATTCCTCCAGTCTTCAGTGTCACATGATCTTCAGAAATCATAATAATATGCTGATTTATTATCAGTTTTGGAAATTTTTTTTTTGGAACCTGTGATATTTTTTTCAGGTTCTTTGATGAATAAACAGTTCAAAAGAACAGCATTTATTCAAAATAGCAAACGAATAACTGCTCAGATGGCCTAAACAGGCTAGAGCGCTCCAGGTATACCCTCAGAGCCCTCACTGGGCAGAGCATGTTTGGACCCTGCTCACCATCTGTAACGGGGAGTGCCAATAGGGAGATCACCTGAGCTGTGAATGGAGTTGAGAGCACCTTAGGAACATAACCATGTCTCAGTTTTAGGACGACCTTACAGTCATTAGGCCCAAACTCAAGACATGAGGCGCTGATCGACAGCGCCTGCAAGTCGCCCACTCACTTAACCGACGCCAAAGCCAGGAGGAGGGCCGTTTTAAGCGATAAGGGCTGTAAATCGGCCGAGTTGAGCGGCTCAAAGGGGGGGCCCTTTTAGGGCCCGCAGGATTATAGACAAGTCCCAAGACGGCACAGTCTGAGGGCGAGGAGGATTCAGCCTCCATGGACCCTTCAGGAACTTAACGATCAGGTTGTTCCTGCCGATTGAATGGCCAGCTTCGAGAGAATGATTCGCTGTGATAGCTGCCACATATTCTTTGAGCATGGAGGGGGCGCGCCCCTTATCCAGCAGCTCTTGCATAAAGGTCAGCACGTGGGACACGTCACATAATATCGGGTCCAAACCCCGTGCAGAACACCAGATAAGGAAGACCGACCATTTTTGGCTGTAAAGCTGTCTTGTAGACGGCATTCTTGCCTCCAAAATGGTATTGCTCACTCTCGCTGGAAGCTGATTAAGCTCCCATCGAGGCACCATACATGAAGGCTCCACAGCTCCGGCCGGGGATGCCAAATCATGCCTTTCGCCTGTGAGAGAAAGTTTCTCCTCAGCGGAATGGGCCACGGGGCTGCTGCTGAGAGCTGCACTAGCTCCGGGAACCAAGCCTGGTTCCACCAGAAGTAAGGCCACTAGGAGGAGAGAGAGCACTTGGTCTCCCTGACCAGCCTGACGACCTGAGGAATCAGGGTGATCGGGGGAAAAGCGTATAGGCAAGCACTGGGCCAATCGTAGGCCAGAGCATCTCGCTGTATTGAAAAATATGTTGGGCAGTGAGAGTTGTCCTCTGCCCTCCCGAAGACTGACCAGATCTCTTGAACCGTTTGAGGGCGTAGCGTCCATTCGCCCATGGCTACCTTGCCTCTGGACAGCATGTCTGCGCCAAGGTTCAATCTGCCCAGCACATGAACAGCCCTTAGTGAGAGGAGTTCCTTGTGTGCCAAAAGGAGGAGGCGACGAGCCATCCTGCAAAGAGTGTGCGACCTGAGACCACCTTGGTGATTGATAGGAGGATTCAGCCTCCATGGACCCTTCAGGAACTTAACGATCAGGTTGTTCCTGCCGATTGAATGGCCAGCTTCGAGAGAATGATTCGCTGTGATAGCTGCCACATATTCTTTGAGCATGGAGGGGGCGCGCCCCTTATCCAGCAGCTCTTGCATAAAGGTCAGCACGTGGGACACGTCACATAATATCGGGTCCAAACCCCGTGCAGAACACCAGATAAGGAAGACCGACCATTTTTGGCTGTAAAGCTGTCTTGTAGACGGCATTCTTGCCTCCAAAATGGTATTGCTCACTCTCGCTGGAAGCTGATTAAGCTCCCATCGAGGCACCATACATGAAGGCTCCACAGCTCCGGCCGGGGATGCCAAATCATGCCTTTCGCCTGTGAGAGAAAGTTTCTCCTCAGCGGAATGGGCCACGGGGCTGCTGCTGAGAGCTGCACTAGCTCCGGGAACCAAGCCTGGTTCCACCAGAAGTAAGGCCACTAGGAGGAGAGAGAGCACTTGGTCTCCCTGACCAGCCTGACGACCTGAGGAATCAGGGTGATCGGGGGAAAAGCGTATAGGCAAGCACTGGGCCAATCGTAGGCCAGAGCATCTCGCTGTATTGAAAAATATGTTGGGCAGTGAGAGTTGTCCTCTGCCCTCCCGAAGACTGACCAGATCTCTTGAACCATTTGAGGGCGTAGCGTCCATTCGCCCATGGCTACCTTGCCTCTGGACAGCATGTCTGCGCCAAGGTTCAATCTGCCCAGCACATGAACAGCCCTTAGTGAGAGGAGTTCCTTGTGTGCCAAAAGGAGGAGGCGACGAGCCATTCTGCAAAGAATGTGCGACCTGAGACCACCTTGGTGATTGATATAAGCCACCACCGTCATGCTGTCTGACCGAACCAAGACGTGGTGCCCTTTCAAGGCTGGAAGGAAGGTTTTCAGGGCTAAGAAAACCGGCAACATTTCTAGGCAGTTGATATGCAGGCGTTGCTCCGGTTCTGACCAGGAGGCGAACGCCGGATTGCCCTCCAGCAGGGCGCCCCAACCTGAGTTGGAAGCATCCATTGTGACTACCTTCCTTCTGGAGGACATGCCTAACCTCGTTCCTGTTTCCAGGGGGCCACAGCCTTGACACAGCTGCAAGTATGAAAGTATGCATCTTTCAGATCCACAGTCAAAAACCAGTCCTCGGGGGAAATGTGCACGAGGATATGTTTTATAGTTAACATCTTGAACGACCGGTGCATAAGCGAGTGGTTCAGACGCCTGAGATCCAGAATGGGTCTGAGCCCGCCATCTTTCTTTGGGACGAGGAAGTAGCGGCTGAAAAAGCCTGACTTGCTGTTTGCTGGGGGAACTATTTCCACAGCACCTTTT